TTTGTAGTACTTTAAGGTATATGAAGCATTTTACATATATTAATGCATTTGACCCTAACAAGAACCTGGAGAGTCATGTACTACAGGCATTATTGTCCCCATTTTAACGATGTAGAGACTGAGACTCAGAAGGTTATGTGACTTATAAAATCCTGGATCTCTCTTGAGTCCAAATCTAGCATTGCTATTCAGTTATTATTGTCCTTATTTAGATAAAAAAGCAGACTCATAGAGAAAAACTGATTTACTCATGCTAATACATGTGGTGGTTCTCAAACTTCTTGGCCTTAGGACTCCTTTAAAACCTTGCCCCCCCCAAATGATATTGATTGGAATATATATATATATATATATATATATATATATATACACACACACACATATATATAATATATAATATAAAGTACAATATATTATATATATAACACAATATATCATACCATATATTATATATATATGCATATATATTCCACACAAACATCACATGGAATATAACATATGTACACAAATACAGATGCATATATATTCACCTTTCTATAAATTAATATATCTTATTCACTCAATAAGCATTTATTAAATTCCTACTCTGTGCCAGGCACCATGCTAAGACCTGAGAAAGCAAAAAAAGATTAAAAAAAAACGGTCTCTGATCTCAAGGAACTCACAGTCTAATGGGTTAGACACCATCAAAACAGTTATGCACAAACAAAATATAGACCGAGTAAATTGGAAATAATCAATGAAGGAAGGTGCTAGCATTAAGGGCAATCAGTGGAAGATGAGACGTTAGTTGAGACTTGAAGGAATGCAGGAGATGGAGAAGAGGGATAGTATTCCAAGCACAGAAAACATTCAGTCAGCCAACAAACATTTATTAAGTGCCTACTGTGTGCCAGGTACTGTGCTGAGTGTTAGGAAAGCAAATATAAAAAAGAAAGGCAGTCCCTGGCCTCAAGGAACTTATGGGGAAAGATGACACATACAAAGATTGGCTGTGGGGGTAGGTGGCAAGATGTTGAAGTCAAAGGAATGCAGCCAGTGGGAAATGAAAATATGGCTAGCTTGGACGCCACCCGCCTTAAATGCTCTGTCTACCAATCAGAAGGGCAGAGGGTACAGATGAGGTGTGAGTGCCAAGGCTGATTCTATTTTGTAGGGTGATAAGGTTTCCCAATAATGAGCTTCCTGGGGGATGATTGAGAAGTCTAAAGAAGGGCAGCAGTGGGAAATGAAGAGCCAGTGAAAATGGCCCAGAATTTGAACATGTAACATCTTGTGCAAGGAGACCAGTGTGTAGATTACAGAGTATGGGGGGGGGGAAGGGAGGAATAAGGTATAAAAAGACTGGAAAGGTAGGAGGGACAGAGTTGCAAAGGGCTTTGCATTTCAAACAGAGGATTTTGTATTTTACCCTAGAGGTGATAGGGAGTCATGGGGGTTTATTAAACAGGGGAGTGACATGGTCAGATCTGCATTTTAGGAAGATTAATCTGACTGCTGCACAATGAATTATGAAAAGAGTTTTGAATATGTGGACCCTCTGAAGGGGTCAGAAAGATACAGACCACACTTTGAAAACCACTCACGTACAACTAGTAATACTTGTCCTACTTATCTTGCTCTGAACCCAGGGGATCATTTATTTCACTGAATTATTTTATTTACTAACCATATTTTCAAGCAACATACTTGGATGATCCTTTAAAGTAATTCTATTCAACTAAAATCGATTATTTTCATTATTACTGATGATAACAAGGATGACAGTAAACATATACACAGTGCTTTAGGGTTTACAAAGTACTTCATGTGATACAAAAACGGTTTAGAAAATGAAACGTGCTCTTGGGAGGTAGTGTAATTTAATGGTTAGAGAACTGGCCAGGAAGATCTAGGTTCAAATTCTACTACCAACATATACTTACTGTGTGACCCTTGGCAAGTCACTAAGACTAGCTGACAAGAAGGTGATGACTGGCATTGGCTCCTCTCTGGGATCTTCCCTGGTCAATGAAATCACAGATCCATTCCCTATACTTATTCAAATGTTGGCTAGTTCCTCAGTAGAATAAATCTTTATTCATTTCAGTTGGATTTATCAAAGGAAATTGACATAGATTGTATAAAATGAGGAAGGCAAGAAAATTTTATGATCCAGGCCATTGGCAGGAGTGCTCACACTGATGTAATCACAGATCCTTTGAAGCATTTGAGCCTCTACAATCAGAAAGTGGTGGCTATGTTTCCACAGACACAGCGTAGTGAAGTGGTAATGAAAATGATTTTAATATTCATCTTCAGAGGTTTTTTCATAGATTATTCTTTCCTTGATTTCAAGAAGAGAATAATAAAAAAAATCCTCCTTCCAGTCTCTTGACTTCAAGGGACCTTCATTCTCTAGCTTTTCTGAATAGTTAAGAATGGTGATGGTGAGGATAACAACTATCATTTATATAGCACTTTTGAATCTACAAAAATTATATTATTTTATCCCCACAACAATAAAAGGTAAGTACTGTTATTATCCTCATTTTACAGGTGAGGAAACTGAAGCAGAGGTTAAGTGACTCATCCACTTAGGATGACACAGCTAGTAAAGGTATGAAGCCAGATTTGTACTCAAGTCTTCCTGACTCTAGATCCATTGCTCTATCCACTATACCATCTATGAGGTGTGACAGACTTCATGGAGAAGTTTCTACTGCAAACCTTACCTGTGATGAATATATTGATTAATTAGTCATTAAGTACTTATTATGCTTCCTCACTCGTCAGGTATTGACCAATTAACACGCGATTGTTTTCCCATCTGGCTTTTTATTCCAGTCTTGATCTTAACCCGGTACAACAGGGACACAACAATTTTGGAGACAAGGAGCTTGACATTTCTGCTGCAATATTTTCCCAAGATAGTAGCAGTTACTTGATAGGGCTTTTTCAGGATGACAGAAATGGCACAGACTTTGGGATACTGGGAGCTATATACATTATTGACAACTATCCTCAAAAGTCAGAAAGTTTTCTGGTTACTATTTTAGATTGCTGGATATGGCATAAAGAGGCTAAAATCAACAGCAATGAGACATGATTGTGTCATAGTACTCATGGATATCAGTAGAAGAGTTTGTATGATTCTGTCCATTCCAGGCACTTGAAGTAAATCACATGCCTGGTGGCTCATAAGAGAAATAGAACAAGACGTAGTGTCCCAAGAGAGAGCCCTAAGCATGTTTATAGCCCTTTGATGACCTGTTACTTTTTAGTGTATCAGGAGACCTAAGGTTGTATGGAGTTTTGGAAAGATCTACTCGAGTCAAATTAAAGCTCTATAAATTTAATGTGACTAAGGGAAGGATATTTGTGTTAACCTAAAATTATGTTTACAGCCAAACTTCTTATCATAATGGTCAATAATGGCATGGGAAACTCATTATCTTGGCTCCCTATTTCACAGAAAATAGTCTAATTGTATTAATGAGCTTCCAAACTTCCATGTAATCACATTACCATTAGTTTTTGCTCCTCAGATATAAAAGCTAGTGCTAAAATGTTCAAATATTATTGTTCTGTATTAATGGCTTCTCTCTCCAATTAGTGAGCATCATTATTGCAATATATCAGCACTCACATAGTACGCCAGAGACAGCAACAAAAGACTCCCGGGTAGCAGCATTTTAGAAGCTTCTGAAGAGTTTTATCCTCCGACTACATAGAATCTCCTGGATCTCTATCCCTCCCATTATGACTCGCTACAATGTGCTTCATTCTAGCAATATTGTTAATAGATGAGCTGGTGTAATATTTTTCTCCCTCCCACAATAAAGGGATTCAGCTCTGGACCCCAGATTTAAATATTGAACAGAGTAGATTTACGTGCTTCTGCTAGCTATTTTAGAGAAGGGAGAATATTCTGCCTCATGGAGGACATCACTTACATTCTACTAGAGGTGATGTAACCTGTCTGTTAAGCACATTTTAAAAAGGGATTCTGTATTTTAATGGCCAGTTAGTAGCTGGCTATCAACAGTCTGTGCTCCCTGCCTGGGGACAGCATGCAAGGTTTATTAAATATTAAAAAGTTGTTCATTACTCCGTGGCGCTATGACAACAGAACATCTGCATATTTAGAAAACAGCAAGTTTACATTGTTTTGAGGGGTTGCTTGGGTTCTGGCAGAGGACTGATGTTTGCCTGGCTAAAGAAGCATAAAAATGTGTGCTCCATCTTGGAAGTCCACTTAGAGCTTTTTTTGAGGTTAAAAAAATGTCAGTGTACAAAATAGCCAAACTTCGCTGTGTGTGGAGAGAGAATGAAAATTAAAAACAAACAAACAGAAAAACCTTCCAGTTTGCAAATTTCTAGTTTGTAAATTCAAATATTCCCATGAACCTTGTTTTGGAGGGAAAACCCAATATTTGAAATGCTGACCTACCTCATCATCAATGCTCTTTTTAAACAATTCTTGAAACATCATTCTTTCCCCCCTTCTGGTTTCAATTTGAAGGATCCATGACATTTCATTGAAATATTATCTTTATTGATGCAAATTGTAACCTTTTCCATGCCTTAGAAGGTGGTCTTCATGAGTGCTATGGCCAAAAAAAATTGCATCATGTGTTTGTCCAACTCTCTAGAGATGAGATTCTTCAAACTTATCCAGAATTCTCCTCAGGTAACAGAGTCAGAGTCTGTCCCAGCCTATATTCTGAACCTTTCAAAGGCAGCTGGTGGCACAGTAGATAAAGTACTGTCCCTGGAATCAGGAAGACCCAAATTCAAATTCGGTCTCAGACACTTGCTAACCTGTGTGACCCTGGGAAAGTCACTTAAACCATTTGCCTCAATTTCCTCAAATGTAAAATGAAGATAATATTAGCACCTACCTTGAAGGGTTGTTGTGAAGTTCAAATGAAATAGTACATGTGTAACACAGTGTGCCTGGCACATAATAAATGCTATATAAATTCTCTTACCCTCTTCTCTCTTCTTCCTTTCTCTAGGATAGGACCTGCCAGACCTTGGATTCCTTTGGTGAAGCCTTTGATAACCTAGAGGTATCCCTAGGTCAAGATGAAGCACCATGAGTACGTTAGTGAGGGGAGTTACTTGATATTTCCATATGATTTCATTGACATGTGATTTCATCAGTGTGTGATTTCATTGGTGTAGGGAGCCCACAGTAAGAAATCTCTTGTATCAATGCAGCTTGTCACCTTCACTGCAGCATACAGTGTTAGAGAGTTGCTTAGAAGCATTGAGAAGTGAAATGCCTTCTCTAAAATCACACAGCCAATGTGTTGGAGATGGTTTTTTTTTTATTCTGTGTCTTCCCGGCTTCAAGGCCATTGCCTCTTAAACTTTCCCTGGCTTACCTTTCATAAATTTAATTTAATTTAATTAATTCCATTTAATACTCCTCATTGCCTGAATAATATACAAACTCCTTAACCTGACATTCAAAGACATTTCATCTTCATCCTTATATATCTTCATACACTTTATGTCCCAGCCCAACTGGATGACTGTTAGCCACTCTTCCCTGGCTTCTTCCTGCCCTCTTCTATAACCATGGATTTGTATGAGGTTGTCCCTATGTCTGGAGTGGAAGACCTCACATCTCTGCTACTGAAATCCTGTGCTTTGCTTAAGAGACAGCTCAAGGGCTGCCATCTGTACCTACAAAGCCTTCCCTGATCTCTTTCCCAGTTGAAAGAGATCTCTCTCCTTTCTCAAACTAGTCCTTTTACTTTGTCCAAACCTCTGTTCTGCTCTATCTCCTGTTTTTTATCCTACATTAGGTATGCATAGATTATGGAGCCAGGTGTGACTGGACATGCAAGCACTCTTAGGCCACATTCTTGATAATACATATAATCTTATTTGAGTACGTGTTGTTTTTCCCATTAGAATGCACACAAAGATAGTGTCATCTTTCCTGTTTGCATCCCTTGCACTTAGGGCGATGCCTTCATGTGGTAAATAGTTGATAAATGTTTATTGAATTTAACTGAGGTTAATTTCTCTACAAAGTAGCTAGGTGGTGCAGTTAATGGAACACTGGACTTGGAATCAGGAAGACTAATCTTCATGAGTTCAAATCTGGCTGCAGACATTCTCTGTGTAACCCTGGGCAATTCACTTAACCCTGTTTGCCTCAGTTCCTCCTCTGTACAATGAGCTGAAGAAGTGAATGGCAAACTACTCCCATGTCTTTGCCAAGAAAACTCTGAATGGGGTCACAAAGAGTTGGACTCGAACAACAACAAATTCCCCAACACAATGTCACTCATGTCTTTTTATTTCAGTTTTTATTCCTCTTTTACCAGAAATTCCTACCCCTAACCCATCCCAACCCCAACCCAAGTTCAGTCTTTTCAATTGGCTGTCTTTGTATCCATTTCCTTTGACCACAATGTTCAATTATGCCATTTCTCAGAAGGTTTTGAGACAGTATTGAATGACATGAGATTGCCCAAGATCCAGAGAGATTGCCCAACGTCTGGGAAGCTTTGAATGGAATAGGAAAAAATAAATACTCAGGAGAGAGGGAGTTCTTAGGGTTGTATGTTTCCAAAATTTCCTCTATGCTTCCTGTGACCACTGGAGAAAGATGACTATCACTGGATCTCTGTGATTGCTACTGTAAAGTTTCCATTAATGAATTTGTATCTTATCACTTAAAGAAAAAAAAAGAAACAACTTTCTGCACATTGTATCCTAGGCTTATTTAGTGAGGGAATATGAGAATCAGGATTCAGGCTCTGCTGCTTACGTAGCTTTTTCCTTTGGACGTGTCGCTTCCTCAGATGTATAAAAAGGGGGCTAGACTAAGTAATCTCTAAATTCCTTTCCAGTTCTAATATTCAATGGTCCTATATGTTGACTCAAGACAATTTGAGTTCAAGGAGAGGGGCTGGAAAAGAATAATTCTAGAAGAAGTGATGTGTGTGTGTGTGTGTGTGTGTGTGTGTGTGTGTGTGAAAGAGAGAGACAGAGACAGAGAGACAGAGACAAAGACAAAAACAAAAACAGAGAGACAGAGACACAAAGAAACATCCTCAAAACTAAAAAAAAAATCTCTGGAAGAATCAAATGGGTAATAATATAGTTTTTTAGGAGTCTTTGAATTTTAATTTTGATCTTTCATTGTGAACAGAAGTCTAAAGGAAGCTTTTTTTTTTGCTTATTTATAAATCCTTGCTTCACATTTTCAAAGTTTCAAAGTATCCAACTTTTTTTGGCGTCAGAGATGAATCTTGCCAATTTATTCCTGAGGTAGTATCTATCCCGGAATTTGTCTCCATAGCCAAGGATTGAGTTGATAAAGAGAAGCCGATCTTTTTTGTTGTTGTTGTCATTACTGCTGGCTAAGGCTGACAAATGGTTTTGTCCCAGCCTCCCCTGTACATTATTAATGAAGAATATTGTTCTCACCTGAGGCTAACCCGATTTCTTGTGTGAACCTTTGGCAACTAACTGTCTCTCTGTTGTCTGAAGTGCAGAGCAGAAATCTCTCCCCAGCTCTCTCCCTTAAGAAGTAGTTTAACATGGAGAAGGCCATGGCTTCAAATTAGGTATGGAATAAAGCCCTGTGATAAATAAGGGCATCTGCCACCCAGATTGCCACTTGTTTGGGGATTAAAGTATCGATTTTTGAATGTTGCTGTGATTTAGACATGGGTTAATTAAACATTTACATATATGGGCTGAACAATATATTGTGGAGCACAATAATATGCACTTTAATCAGAAACGGTGGGTGTTGTGTGTTTGCTTGCTCCATGTTAATTGGCACCATGCTGGCTCAAGCTTAGGTATTTGGGTAGATGGAAGAAAATAGACATGGTGTTTTAAATATTTTAATTAGGACCAGCAGTTCTCAGCTCACTCATTTCTCATTGGATTGTTTTTCATGCATGAATAAATTAGCTAGCATGGAAAGACCCGGCAGAAAGTGGTTGCCCTCTGGCTATAAAATGAGTCCTGTTCATTAATACTTTAATGAAATTAGCTGTGAGCAAAATATTATTCCTTTTAACTGTGTTCTAATTTCTTAATTTTAATTAGGCACATAATTGTAGGGTGCTGAAATTATCTTCATGTACAGCAAGAAAAGTTCCATCACCAGCAGCCTGTGGCTGAAACTCCCAACACTCCCAACACACTTGAGCTTGAAATTTTTTCCTTCCAACTTTTTTTTTCTTTTCATTTGTCTTATCCCTCACATGGCTGTGGTGAGGTATACTATTCCAGTTTCAAATATGATGCTTTGGTATTATGTAATATGAAACCATAGAAAAAATTCGATCAGAATGTTTCACTTCTAGATTTTTGTCAGTATCTCAATCAACCAATAAGCATTTTATCTCGCCCTGTAGGGCCTTTTTGAATTGCTTAGATCAAGTTTTGTTTCCATTTCTGCATTTACATCTGACAGCTGTAGCTCAGGAGTATTTCATTTAGGGGAGGGGATATCTCTGTACCTGAACATGAGCGTCTGAACCAACCAGAAGATGGCCCCAAAGTGAAAAGTACTAATGATTCCACCAAACTCAGCTCTTTCGGCAAATGCCGTAGTATTTATAGAGATTTAGGTAAATAGGAGAGCCTTGCTGAAATGGAACTTCCGAATTTCTCAAACTAATAATCTGAACTCAATAATTTCAACTCTTGAAGACTGATAGGCTAACCACTCTGAGGCCAGTCCCCTAACTTCCACTTGCAGATCAGGTCCCCAGAGAGTGGTTGCCACTGCTTGTCTCAGAAATCTATCAAAAAGCCCTGAGTGTACTGTTTCTAGTACTGTTGCTCAAGAGCTCCCACCAATGTGCTTCCTATTGATTATCAGCCATTTGCTTCAATGGGTTTTACAAAAAGTGTTGACTAAGGAGGTATATAGTAAGAAAAATTGTCATGAAACATTTCCCACAAACCAGGGGTGCACTCTCCCTTTGTACACTTAAGTCCTCTGGGTGGGGTTGGGCTCAAAGTTAAGAGTATGATAATGGTGAAACAGATGTCTAGAGAACTCATATTGCTAAGGGGTAATTTATAGCACCTGGTTATTGGAAGTCCTTTTTTTTCATTTGTGAAGTTCACTGTGGGAAATCACGAGTGATGGATAAGTCACTTGACTGTTCCGGCTCCTCCAGAGAGTGTAGTGTCTTTACAACCTCTCTAATACATTCAATGCTTATGAGGTTTCTATCTGAGCGTGATTTCCTCAGAGTTTCTTCTTGGTCACACTCTGACTCCTGTAGCTATTACAACTAACTCTAGAGGACCCGGAAGAGGGTCACTTGTGGGATCTCAGGATTTCCCTAATTCATATGGTCTCTTTCTCTTCCCCCTAAACAATGCCCTCTCAGAGCCTTGGCTGGAACTGTGACACCACTATATTGGACTGCTTATGGACTTCATGATTCTGAGCCAGCTTTCTTTTTTATGCATAGGCCAAGAGCTGTGTCTCATTCTTTTAGCCAACCAGTCATTTGTCTTTATCCAATGATCAAAAATGACTTAACCCTTCAAATTGATTAAGGACTTGCTCACATAGATTTTATACTTTCGATTGATTGATTGTTTCAATTATCTGTCTAAACATTCCATGATTATATTAATTGAGATTGGGCTGAAACACCCCCACCCTTAGAATGGTAAGACATTTAAATTCAGATATAAAATTATAAGCCCCCCTCCAAGGCACACAAAATAATTTAATATTTTTCTTTCCTAAAAAATATTTTTCCTTTACATACATTTAAACATGTATGTAAAAATGTAAACATGATAATTTAGATGTATCTGTAGGGAGGAATATACAAATGTAATAATACAAAGGATGAAAATTAGTTCAAACAATTTTTTATTTTCCTTCTATACACTAGGACATAATATAATGGATTAGATTATTTTTCTTCTCCTTTTTACTCCTGCCCTCTCCATTGTTAAAATGAATGGTTGTTGATCTGAATCACACGTTATTTAAAAAAATGAAATGTTTACTGATTCATTATGGAGTACCAATATTCCACTCAAATTAATCATCTGTTCTTTATCTCTCTCTCACTTTCATACCTACTTGCCACCTTTTCCAGTCATGTATGTCCTCAGTGATATCCTTTACACCATGTCTTTTATTAGCACGACAACATGATAAAGTCTGCCTGTGTCCACCATATACCTTTTCATTGCCTTCTGAATTATTATCATTTTAGTTCTTCTGAGATCATGCTACTTCAGGATTTATAGTCATGTAGAATCACCAGGAAAGCAGTGGTATTAAAAAGTGTGGCTTTTGCAAGGCCAAGTATTTTGGAATTATTGAAGGCACTATGAAAATTTCTCAAGGCCACTCAATTCCAGGACCAGCTCATTGTCCATGTTTAGTACTTGGTATCCAAGACAGGCACACGGAGGGACTAGTTGGATGGACTTTGCTACCTACCTTACTGAACTAAACTTATTTAAAAAAACTAAAGACCTTCTATGAAAAGGATATTCTTTTAGGTACTGATAAAGATACAAAAATACAGTCCCTGCCTTCACGGAACCTATAGTCTAGGAGGGGTATAAGATACTCAGAGGCAACTATAGTGATCAATGTCATAGCATTAGAGAGTTGCAGAGCAAAGTGGCCTGAGGAGTAAAGCTTTTACTTCAGGACACAGAGGACCAGAGAAGTCTTCATGAAGGAGTTTGAGTTTAAGCTAAGACTTAAGAACAAGTAAAAATTCACTAGGTAGAGAGGGGTAGGAAGAATACTCCAGGAAAGGGGAACAGAACGAACCAACACATAAGTCAAGAAAGCATACGTCATGCTTTATGGAGCATGCATTGTCATGGAGATCAGGTGAGATAATAATATATGTAAATAACTCTGTGAACCTTAAAGTGCTATATAAATGTAAGCTATTATAATTATGAATAGTTCAACTAGCTGCATGTCTGGACAAAGTGATTTTCATTCATTTGTCTTCCTAGTATGGAAAGTTAGACCAAACTCTCGCATTACTATTGATTTCACAAAGACAAATTTGTAATTATATAATGTCTTCTTATGGTGAGGAGCATTGGAAGAACCTTATCATCAACAGGAGATCCTTTTTTTGCACGACATTTTCCATTATTTGGATAAATCCCTTTGGCAACCATGTATCTATTTAACAACTCATTTAATGTCAATATTCAGTGGATTTTTGAATAAAAGATTTCTGAAGTCATCTATAATGGGATTTCTTATAATTTTGAAATATGTTTGAGAGAAATCTTTTCTGAGAAGAGTTTTTAAGACTGTATTTTGTCCAACAAAGATCAATACTTTATAAAAATCAACATATGATAAATCTACAGGGATCCAATATTTGTTGTTATCTCTCTGTCACCTCTGTAACCATAAAGATTTTATATGAGTTCAGTTAATTTTCAAATTAGCTGAAAAGAACTGCTTGTTTCTTCATTATATTTTCAGTGAAGATTTCTTCATTGCATATGTAAACCAGAGGTGTCAAACACATTGTCATCAGGTCACACAGTACTCTTGAACCAGATTCCAATGTAATTGAGAAATACCTAATAAAATAAATAAAAACATGACAAAACATAGATAATCTTAAAATGAGATTTTCTAAGTCATTATGTGGTTTACAAGAATCCTTATATGCTCACTCTTTAGTAACTCCCATTTCTATTTGGGTTTGACAACATTGTTATACACCAATCTTATAAAGATTATAGCCTTCAGAAAGCAAATTGGTAGTTGCTAGTATCTTCTCAGTTGTCTTTGTGTGGGGGGAGGAAAGATGGAATATAGTTATGGTGGTGATGGAGATAAAAATCATAGTTCATGATCTTTTCCATTCTTTCAGGGCAACAGTATCAAGCTCAAGTAGAAATAGGATCTGCTAATCTGTACTTAAGGATGGAGGGGACACATTGAAAACCAATAGGTTAGAAACAAATTATACATTGGAAAAACCACATAAAGATTATGTCATATTGTCTTTTTTTGTTGTTAAATATTACCCTATTATATTTTAATTTAGTTCCAGGTGCACTTGTAAACATTGAGGACTGCCTACTTGATACCTCTGATTTAGAATCTTCCCTTCTGCAAGGTATCCTAAAAAATTGATTCTTTTTGTTTGTTTTTGGTTTTTGGCTAGGCAATGGGGTTAAGTGACTTGCCCAGGGTCACACAGCTAGTTAAGTGTTATGTGTCTGAGAATACAGGGCCGGTGCTCTATCCACTGACCTACCTGGCTGCCCCTAAAAAATTGATTCTTGAACGTCTTTAAAATTGTGTAAGCTCTATCACGAACTTCTTCCATATGTGTGGTTGGCCAGATTTAGTTGCCTAGCCTAATCTTCTGAAGTGCCTTTATTCTTCACGTGGTACATTACATAAAGGCTTAAAGTACCAATTTGGTTGTTTCACTATTGGATTTTTATGGATTGTTGTAAAAAATACCAACAGATTTGTTCCAGTTTGTATCTGTTTATTGCCAGTATGATTTCATAAGCATGATCTGGTTTGGAGAGTGCTCATGTCAAAATATCTGCAGAATCATTTTGTTCTCTGCTTTATTTCTCCCTGGTTTAGGTATCAAGAACATATTTGTATTGTAGAAAGATTCAAATGGTGCCTTCTTTTCTTCTTATTGCAAACAGGGAATTGTTTTTTGAATATTTGATAGAATTCACTTGTAAAATTCATTTGGCCCTGGAGATTTTTTTTCTTTGGGAGTTTATTTATGGCTTGATAACTTCTTTTTCCTCTACTAGTTTATTTAGTCCATTTATTCTTTTGTTAGTCTGGGAGTTTCATTGTTGTTATTTAGTCATTCAGTTGTGTCTGATTCTTCATGACCCTATGGACAACACACCAATACATCAATACTGTCCATGGGACAAAGATACCAAGAGACTTCGAGGGATATGAGAGCTAACTGATGACACTGCCTCCATAGACAGCAGCAACTCCTCCATATGCATGTAATTTTTATCTATATTTTTCCTAATTCCTCCATAGAAACAATCAACAAATCATTCAAGAAGCATTAATAACTGCCTAATATGTGTTGGGCAATGTGCTAGGCACTAATAGTACAATCCTCCCTCTCAAGGAGCTTAGATTCCGTCATGGAAGACAAAATATGTAGATGTGTGTGCAGAATAGGTATATTCAGAATAAATACAAAAATAAGTAAAAAGATCCACTTAAAGTTCTAGAAATCTTCCTGGGGTGGGGAGAAGGAGAGAAAGGGGAGGAAAAGAGGCAATAAGCATTTATATGGTGCTACTATGTACGGAGCTAAATGCTTCACAAATATCTCATTTGATCCTCACAGCAACTCTCTAAGGTGGGTGTGGTTATAATCCCCATTTCATAGTTGAGGAAACTGAGTCAAATGGCTTGCTTAGGATGGCGCAGCTTGTAAGTTTCTGGGGCTGAATATGAACTCAGGTCTTCCTGACTCCAGGCTGAGCACTCTATCCACCCAGCTGCCTTGAGTGTTTTGGTACCAAAAAAGCAACAGGGCTATCCATTTGTCATTTCTCATTCTTGCTACATGACCTGCCCACCTCCTTTTCTAGACATACATGTCCTTGCTGCTGTGTCTTTGGCTATGCATCCCTGGTAACACAGTAAACCTTACTTACACCCACCATGCAGCTTTTGATTTTCCCATGCTTTGCTTTCAGGTACAAGTTATATTTAATCTAGATGTTATTGATGTAACCCAGCTAAATGATGTATGATAGCTAATTGTAATACTTGGTTATGTCTGAAATGAATGAACTGAATTCAGGTTTGCTTTCTGTTAAAACTAATATTATTTTCTATGTAGTTGGAATTCAATTTTCTGCTTTTTCACAGATTGCCGTTGGAAATAAGAAAGCCAAGGGATTTATCATTTCCACTGGCAATCTTGTTTTGCTAGATAAACAATTTAAAATATAATCTACTGTATAGTCTGGTAACATGTGATGTGACCATGGGAAGTGTTTACTTTTCACCTGTGGCCAGTCTTCCATCACCCTCTGTATACTCTCAGGACCTAAGATTGAAAGATTTAGTTTATGTAACCTCTAAATCATAATTTAAGAATTCCCACTAAATGCTGGTCAAACCACTGCTTTTGATGGAACTGGAATTGGTTGTATTTTATCAATAGAATGAGTTTGAAGGATTCCAGTTTGATGAAATGACTGTCTTTGTGTTTATGTGATTTTATTAAGGCAGTTTGCAATGTGAATTTTCTCTGTGTGCTGGTTGGATCTCCCACATACTTCCGCAGAGGTCTGCCTGAAAGCAATTTAAACGAATCATAGATAATGCCTCTATTTATGCCTCCCACCTTTGCCCTATTACAACCTGTTGGAGTAGGGTATAGAGAGGGGCCAAAGGGAGATTCTTTTCTCAGTGAACTGAAGGTTGGGAACTATATTAAGAAAGTATGGGAAGAAAGAAAAAGGGAAAAAAAGAGAAGGAAAGAAAAAGAAAATTAAGATATAAAAGTACAATCATAAGGGCATATGATTGGTTATGTCATATAGATTTATATACTCATAGAGTTCAAAATACTTTAGATATCATGTAACTTAGCCCCTCCATTTTACATATGAGGAAACCAAGAAACGGAATGAATTGTTTCAAGAATCTAAAAGCAAGATTAGACTTCAGCTCTCTTGACTCCCATTATGGGATTTAATCCATTGTACTAGGCACTCTAATGGTTTAAAATAAATATATAAATAGTATAATCATAGATAATTAAAATATAATAAAAATATAAATATAAAAAATAGTTTCTTAAAAGTCAGTACAGTTTTGAGCTTTAATAGCTTAAATATGTAGCTTAATGTAGTTTTATAGAGCCTAAATAGATTTTAAAACTTGAGATGCAGTAAGATTTTTGGGACACCTGGTAAAATAACTGACTTAATTCATTGGTGTGTGTCTTGAGCACAGGCATAGTTAATATTCCACATTTCGTTATGGGCAATTGCATATGTTCTGGAATCCATTTAACTTCCTTTTAGCAGTAATTTATTAAGTGCCTCTCATGTATGAGGCACTGAGGAAAGGAGGAGAAAGGAAAGCAAAGATAAATAAGGCCTTAGTTCCTGCCCTCCTGGCGATCGTAATGATTCATGGAATCACTTTGTATTTATTTTATAGATATCCTGTATTTATTTATCTATAAGCACGTAGTAGAGAGTTCTCAGTAGAACATAAAGTCCCTGAGGGCAGACTCTGTTTTGTTTTTTTATTTGTATACTCAGTATCTGGCATAGTGCTTAACACATAATAAGTACTTAATAAATGTTTGTTGATTGATTTCTATCTCAAAGATATAGATAGTCTCAGTTACCAGGGCAGTAGTAGCAGCTCCAAAGTGGCCAACTAGGGCAAACTAAGTATATCTGGTAATACCTCCCAGAAGCAGCAGCAGCATGTGACTTGTTGAAACTATGTGATAGTCAGAGGATCAGAGATCTAGAACTAAATGGGACCTTGGATGCCTTTATCCAACATTTTTCTTCACACATGAGGTAATTGAAGCTTGGGGAGATTAAATGACTGGCCCTACTTCATATAGGTGGTGTCAGAGGTAGGATTCAAACTCAGATCCTCTGACTTCAGAACTAATGTTCTTCCTGTTATAAGACCCTGCCTTCCATATGATAAGGGAATATGATTTCTAAAGACATGTAAACATGGTTAATTGTCTTTGAAACATTGTATTTTATCACAATCTAACAATAAGCCTTTATTAAGCATCTACTATACGCCAGCCATTGGGAATTCAAAGACAGCCCTGACTCTCTCTCTAATGGTAGGAAATAACAGGTCCATAAAAAATTAAATAATGGTAATAATAGCTGGGGGCAGGTAGGTGGTGCAATGGATAGAGTGCTCAGCCTGGAGTCAGGAAAACTCATCTTTCTGAGTTCAAATTCAGTTTCAGACACACAAGCTATGTGACCCTGGGCAAGTCGTTAATCCTGTTAGCTTCAGTTTCCTCGCCTGTAAAATTGGGTCACAAAGGGTCGGACAGGACTGAAAAACAACCAAACAACAATGAAAAATAACAGTTAGTATTTATATAGTACTTTAAGGTTTGCTAATGCTTTAATGTATGATTTCATTTGATCTATATGATATACTTATGAGGTAAATGCTATTATTGTCACCATTTTACAAATGAGGAAAATGAAGCTGAGTAAGGTTAAGTGACTTTCCCATTATTACACCTAGAAAGTATCTGAGGCAAAATTCAAACTCAGTCTTGATTCCAAATTATGGATTTTATGGATTTAAATATGAGATTTAATTTGTTGATACTGTAATATCTTTTCACACTTTTAGTTTGGCTAACACTGAAAAATTTTCATATCCAAGATAAAAATCTAATCTTTAAAAATTAAAATTTATTTTTAACATTTTTTTATTTTTAAATTTTGAGTTTTTAAATTTTCTCCCTCCTTTCCATCCCTTCCCCATCCACTAGAAAGGCAAGAAAAATGATATCAATTAATCCTGAAATCATGCAAAACAGTTCCATATTAGCTATAAAACAAAAATGGAAAAAAATAAATAAGGAAAGAAAATCATACTTCAATTCGCACTCAGAGTTCATCAGTTCTCTCTCTGGAGGTGGCTAGCAGTTTTTCATCATGAGTCATTTGGAATTGTCTTGGATCACTGACTTGATCAAAGTAGCCTAGTCTTGATTATCATTACAACTTTGCCGTTAACTGTGTACAATGATATCCTGTTTCTGTTCGCTTTACTTTGCATCAGTTCATGCAGCTCTTCCTATTTTTTTTCTGAAACAACCTCCCTAGAGATGTCTGTAGCACAATAATACTCCATCACATTCATGTGCCACAACTTGTTCAGCCATTTCCCAATTGATAAGCATCCTCTCAATTCCCAATTCTCTGTCACTACAAAATGAGCTGCTGTAATTTTTTTGCATATAGATCCTTTTCCTTTTCCTTTGATCTCTTTGGGGTACAGACCTTGTAGTGGTATTGCTGGGTCAAAGGGTATGCAGTTTTATAGTCCTTTGGTCATAGTTCAAAATTGTTCTTCAGAATGGTTGGA